AATTTATGGACTCTATTATTTAATACCATTCATAAGAATATAAATTTAGATAAATAATAAATCTTGATAAAATTAAATGCATTAAACATATTAAAAGTATTTACAATCTAAATCAATTGGAGTTATAACATAACACTTACGGGGTCTGATACACCATTATCGTTATGAAGGGTTTGCCAACTTGAAGGTTGTGCCTAATCCAATCCCCAGTGTACCGTGTTATGTATTGCCTATTGGTCAATCAGAACGGCTGTGTATCATTGAGGGCAACTTAAAGTGATAAAAATCAAGTGGCCTAAATCTTTCTTTGCACTCAAAATTTTTCTAATGAATTTAAGTTTAACTAAGAGGAGCAGCGGAACCATTATTGCATTCTGAACCACCACCCGAGCCCAGTATTTTCAATCCAAACCGAAATAATTCGCAAGTTGTTGGAGAATCTTCAGTTCTTAGGCGATGGCCACATAATGAAGGCGATGAAGATGGTTACTATTGAATTTCCTAAATATCAATCAAACGCGACTACTGACACACTTCTTCCCACAGGAACTTGAAGCATAGTGTTCTGACATCCCCTTAAGTCAGACTGAAGCTGTTGATGTTTCAGCACCTGTGTGTAAAATTCTTTTGACTCGTGCTGTTCTGCCCATAAGGTATAAGGATAATGGAGTTGGGAGGAACATACTGTGTAATGAGATCTGACTGTGGGAAAGTAGTCATTGTACATTGTTTGATCAACAGTCAACTCATACATACGACATTAAAACTCTAATATTAATTTTTGAAATTAAGCTAAACCAAAGAGGGAGATTGTTTGAAAAATATATAACATATTTTTATGAAGTTTATTTATTGGCTTAGTTAACATCTATGTTAATTTTTTAATGTCAAAGGAGTAATTAAAAAAGGTGAAAAGGCTAAGGTTTGTACTGACAGATCGGATGGCAAATTCATTCAACAGAATATGTTAGCTGCGACTTTTTGGTTTTTTCATATTTAAACATGCAACATTTTTCTGCAGCTTGTATATGATAGGCTACTATCCATCCTGGATATTTTCAAATTAGATAATTAAAAAATTTAAGGATAGAATAAATTTAATATTGTCTTTCCCTTATTTAATCTATTAACATATCAAGAATATCTTTGAGCATATTTTGTGATATACAAATTTTATTTCCATGCTTAATGTCTACTATTTGGGTAATTACTTTTAAGCATTTACCTATAAGCAAAGCAATATTAAATGCTTGTTCTTACTTTCTTTTTATTGTTCTTTGTTAATTTTACAAAATTACAAAACGGATCGGATACTATTTTATTTTTGATCAATTAATTTATTGGATTTTTTTACCCTTGGCATGGGGTTTGAGGAAATTTTCTTTTGAAATTTAGCATGTTAAGTCTGGTATTCATGTTAATTAACTCTGATTTTTATAATTTGCATAGTACTAATCTATGAGCATTTAGTACTAATCTTATAATTTGCATAGTACTAATCTATGAGCATTTAGTGATGGAATAGTTTTGTCATTCTGCTTTGATAAACTCCATTTACCTTTCAGGAATCATCAGATGTGATCTCCAACCAATTGAATATACCGACCACAATCACGGAATATTACTGTCCACAACTCCCAAATTAAGTGACTTACAATTTAAATTAAAATAATAAAACCCAAACAGGCAATTAGTAGACAAGCAACGAATAGATATTGACTCGTGTTATTAAAAAAGGTGAAAAGGCTAAGGTTTGTACTGACAGATCGGATGGCAAATTCATTCAACAGAATATGTTAGCTGCGACTTTTAGGTTTTTTCATATTTAAACATGCAACATTTTTCTGCAGCTTGTATATGATAGGCTACTATCCATCCTGGATATTTTCAAATTAGATAATTAAAAAATTTAAGGATAGAATAAATTTAATATTGTCTTTCCCTTATTTAATCTATTAACATATCAAGAATATCTTTGAGCATATTTTGTGATATACAAATTTTATTTCCGTGCTTAATGTCTACTATTTGGGTAATTACTTTTAAGCATTTACCTATAAGCAAAGCACTATTAAATGCTTGTTCTTACTTTCTTTTTATTGTTCTTTGTTAATTTTACAAAATTACAAAACGGATACGGATACTATTTTGTTTTTGATCAATTAATTTATTGGATTCTTTTACCCTTGGCATGGGGTTTGAGGAAATTTTCTTTTGAAATTTAGCATGTTAAGTCTGGTATTCATGTTAATTAACTCTGATTTTTATAATTTGCATAGTACTAATCTATGAGCATTTAGTGATGGAATAGTTTTGTAATTCTGCTTTGATAAACTCCATTTAACTTTCAGGAATCATCAGATGTGACCTCCAACCAATTGAATATACCGACCACAATCATGGAATATTACTGTCCACAACTCCTAAGTTAAGTGACTTACAATTTAAATTAAAATAATAAAACCCAAACAGGCAATTAGTAGACAAGCAACGAATAGATATTGACTCGTGTAAATCAAATTATGTCATTTTGGCACAATCAATTTTGAGTTAGCCCAAGCAGGTCATGGGTTCTTACAGCCATGTTGGCTCTAGGGGCAAGCTGGATCGTGGCACTTTTCGTTCCAATTCATACGACATTATTGTTGGAAAAGTGAATAGTTTTTACTATGCAAGATACCTAAGACAGGATGTAACAAAAAGACATAAAGTGAATTCTTAATAAACCAAGTATCAAGTAAAGAAGATTTTCAAGTAATTACTCTACATTTAGTATCTTAAAATTTCCAAATGTTTCGTCTTAATCTTCACTAACATAAGTTTGATGATTTCATTAGTTATTTCATTTTCTGAAATTAGAAATCTTTTGTTTAAAATTAAAGTTTAGTTATCTTACACTATTATTTAAACCTAAATTGTTCGAGATTAGCAAGCCCCATCATTCTCTAGTCGGATTCATATTTTCAGAAAATCAGATATCCGTTTTTGTTAAAAAAAGTCTAAATGTTAAATCATATTATTTAAAAATTTAAGTGTTAAAGAAAAGTGGTGAGTTTTTAATGTAATTAACGAGTTAAAATCAGAGTTAATTACCCATTATAGCTTAGTCACTGAACCTTTTTTTTTTTTTCTTATTTTCTTAATCTAAGCACTTTGTCTGATTTAATTAACAAAATAACAACAACAATAAGGGGGGGGGGGGGTTGGATATAGCTTAGTCATTGAACCTCCAATTTTGCTTCAATCTAAGCACTTTATCCCACTAAATTAACCGAAAAGAAAGGATTGGATTTCTCAACATAGTGCAGTTATGTATCTCAATATCTAGAGGCAACATTTTGAATCTCAAATAAATTTAAGTGCTTGTTTGATAGGGATATTGATAATTGATTCTTTGACCGTTAAAGATAATATGGGTTCTACCTGTGGGAGAAAAATTTAAAAATAACGGTTGGAATAATAAAATAACAGTAAAAAAATTGGTTTTAATTGGTTTAAAATCTGTACCAAACAAGCACTAAATTTATAAATCTTGTTTCTTATTTGACAAAAACAAATATGTATATTAACAGGCAATTAGTAGACAAGCAACGAATAGATATTGACTCGTGTAAATCAAATTATGTCATTCTGGCACAATCAATTTTGAGTTAGCCCAAGCAGGTCATGGGTTCTTACAGCCATGTTGGCTCTAGGGGCAAGCTGGATCATGGCACTTTTCGTTCCAATTCATACGACATTTTTTGTTGGAAAAGTGAATAGTTTTTACTATGCAAGATACCTAAGACATGAAGTAACAAAAAGACATAAAGTGAATTCTTAATAAACCAAGTATCAAGTAAAGAAGATTTTCAAGTAATTACTCTACATTTAGTATCTTAAAATTTCCAAATGTTCCGTCTTAATCTTTACTAACATAAGTTTGATGATTTCATTAGTTATTTCATTTTCTGAAATTAGAAATCTTTTGTTTAAAATTAAAGTTTAGTTATCTTACACTATTATTTAAACCTAAATTGTTCGAGATTAGCAAGCCCCATCATTCTCTAGTCGGATTCATATTTTCAGAAAATCAGATATCCGTTTTTGTTAAAAAAAGTCTAAATGTTAAATCATATTATTTAAAAATTTAAGTGTTAAAGAAAAGTGGTGAGTTTTTAATGTAATTAACGAGTTAAAATCAGAGTTAATTACCCATTATAGCTTAGTCACTGAACCTTTTTTTTTTTTTCTTATTTTCTTAATCTAAGCACTTTGTCTGATTTAATTAACAAAATAACAACAACAATAAGGGGGGGGGGGGTTGGATATAGCTTAGTCATTGAACCTCCAATTTTGCTTCAATCTAAGCACTTTATCCCACTAAATTAACCGAAAAGAAAGGATTGGATTTCTCAACATAGTGCAGTTATGTATCTCAATATCTAGAGGCAACATTTTGAATCTCAAATAAATTTAAGTGCTTGTTTGATAGGGATTTTGATAATTGATTCTTTGACCGTTAAAGATAATATGGGTTCTACCTGTGGGAGAAAAATTTAAAAATAACGGTTGGAATAATAAAATAACAGTAAAAAAATTGATTTTAATTGGTTTAAAATCTGTACCAAACAAGCACTAAATTTATAAATCTTGTTTCTTATTTGACAAAAACAAATATGTATATTAGATTCACATATTATTTTAATATGATTTAAAGCTGATGGGAACAATAGCCAAGAACATGGATTTGTCAACAAATATGTATAAATATGATTCAAGACATATTTCACGTGAAGAAATTGATAAAAATATTCAAATTGTCTCAAAATCTTGATAAAGTTAATTCTTTGACTGTGAAGAAAAGATTTGGTTTAGGAATTCATTTTTTAGTACTGAATTCCAAACCCCCATACAGGCCGTACAACATAATGGAAGCAAGGTACCTGATTCACTTACCATTATTAGCTATATAAGGACCAGAGGGAACCCCAAGTGGACACCAAGACAGGCACTGAATTCATCAAACATATTGTTTCTTGTTATCCCTCTTTTTGTTTGCAGAAATGGGAAGCCGAACTAGGACCAACCCACTGATGAGTGATAAGCTGCCGGATTCTAAAATCCTTGGTCATGAGAGCGTGAAACCGGGACAGAGTCATGATGAACTGGATCATAGTCCTCCACCACTTCACAATCCTGCAGTTCATCAGAGTACTGCAGCTAGGCCGCTCACGGGTAAAGTTGATCGGCAGGATCGCTACTTTGCGACTGACGATATTGGATTGAACAAGCAAGTTCTGGGCACACATGCTCCAGATTATGTAGATCTTGACGTGAAGCCTGTTCTTTCCATTATCGAGGATATCCTGAAACATTGCAAATCTCTTGACACCGTTCATGTACAATGCTAATTAGCCTTTTCTGTTCTGTTCTACTCTATCTTTGCTGCCAAACATGAATTTTTCTAGACTTTATCCTTAGCTTCATTTAACTGAGACTTTTATATGTTCATAATATAGGAAGCTCAAGTTCCACCACATTCAGAGTCATATGAGATGTCCTTTCAAAATGCTCACTATGACGCGGAGATAGTTCAACTGTTGGCACATCCCATAAACAAAATTTCCTGGGAGGTTTAATGAATCTCCGCTTCTCTCTTGCTCAATGTTGAATATCTTAAAAGAACATCCTGCACTATTAGAGTATTAGTCAATTAACACTTTCATGTGATTATTAGCATTAGTTTCGTAAATGCTGCATAAAACTTCCTTAAAAAAACACATTTTATTTAAATTATCAGCTTAAGAGTATGAATGTCTAATGGAACAGATAATTTGCAAAATTGCTGCTGGAGGAGAATCACATTCAGCAGCCATTGGACTCCTCGAAGCACTGTCGAATTATGCATGGGATGCCAAGGTGGTCGTTATCTTCGCTGCTTTTTCTGTCAGCTATGGTGAATTTTGGCTGGTCGAGCACTTTCAAGTGAAGCATCCACTGGCCAAGGATATTGCAGCTCTCAAGGATCTACCTGAAACAGTGGAGCACAATCAGGAAATGAGAAAAAATTTTGAAGCTGTTTTCAATCTTTTACAGGCTGTACAGACCGTGACTCGCATCATTATAAAGTTCAAGGAGCTCCCCACTCAATACATTAACCGTGATTCACCAGAAATGGCAACCGCGACTGCTCACATTCCAACAACTGTTTATTGGATCATAAGGAGCATTTTGGCGTGTGCATCAATACTCCTGAACCTTGTTGGCAGTGGTCACGAGTATGTTTCCTATTGTGCCTAATTAACTAAGTAAATGAAAGCAAGAAGTGAGAATTTTAAATATACTGACAATTGAATAATTTTGTTGGGGATCAGGTACATTACCTCAACTTCTGAGTCCTGGGAGATATTAAGTCTAGCTAATAAGCTCTCCCACATGTATGAGCATTTGCAGACGCAACTGGAGATTTTGAATGGGATTATTGGTAAGTCACCAACAAACCCACCTTGACATCCCAGTAACTCCTCAAAAAAGTAAAAATTAGTACCCAACGAGCCCTTCTTTACTGCTTTTACGGGGTGGGGGTGGGGGTGGGTTGTTAAGACATGAAGAATAAGAATATGGCACCACTGCACAACTACTTCATTTCTTGAATTATAGCTACTGATATATCACTTAAATGATTGTACTGTTTTACAGAGGCAAATAAGAGAAATGAACAATTTGCTGCTCTGAAAAAACTCTTTGAGACATTACATATTGACAACATGAAGATATTAAGGGCAATTATACGTGCCAGAGAAGATCAAATGCCAATCTTTGATGGGACTAGAAAGATAACTGTTGTCTCCTTACTTGTCCCTGCACAAATTTTTTGATCCCATCCAATTATGTCTAATGTGACCATATCATTTTACATTTTCCTGATGACAGGAACGCCTCCAGGTATTGAGGAGGAAGTATGTCTTGCTACTAATTACAGACCTCGACCTTCCCCACGAAGAGCTCAACATTCTCCATCTGATTTACAACCAAAATTCAATGAGGCACGAATACGAGGTTCTCTGGCTCCCCATTGTTGACCAAGCAACGTCCATGAGCCTAACACAGGAGAGACAATTTTTTGATCTTCGTGGCTCTATGCCATGGTACTCAGTCGATCATCCTTCCTTGGTTGATCCAGTAGCCATTAGGTACATCCGGGAGATATGGAATTTCATCCACATGCCTATACTCGTTGTCTTGGATCCACAAGGAAGAGTGTCAAACGTCAATGCTTTACCGGTAATGTGGATTTGGGGAAGTCTTGCCTTCCCCTTTACTAAGGAAAGGGAATTGGGACTATGGAGAGAGAGTACCTGGAATATTGATTTACTAGCAGACTCCATTGATCCGCGTACCCAGGAGTGGGTACGTACACCATCTTTCGCCCTAAATTATTAACTCTCTTGCTGAAAGCATCAATCACTGATGATAATGCTGTCATCATAACCATGAATATCAAGATTGCTAACTGGTCAATCGTACACGTATGCAACATAATTAACATCATGCCACTTATTGTTTCTGATGCGATCTAAGAGGTTCGAATAGACGGTGAGCGTCAAATTTGTAACACAATGTTAACATATTTTTTTTTGGTCACAGATAAATGACAACAAAACTATATGTTTGTACGGTGGAGAGGATATCGACTGGATTAGGAAATTCACAAGTACAGCGCGAAGCATTGCAAACACATTGCGATTTCCCTTAGAAATGATCTATGTGGGAAAAAGCAATCCAAAGGACAAAGTAAGAAGATGCCATGAAATCATTGACAGAGAACGACTTAGCCACATTTTTTCATTGAAGGACTATTATGATTATGTTTGGTATTTCTGGGTGAGGCTGGGGAGCATGTGGAACTCCAAAATTCAACACGGCATGACCGTTGAGACTGATAAAATAATGCAGGAAATCTTGACAATGCTAACCTATGACGGCAGTGAACAAGGATGGGCTGTTTTCAGCAGGGGTAAACATGACATGACTAAAGGCAAAGGTGACATTTTGCTCACAGTTTTCGACAACTTCGGAAAATGGGGACAAAGGGTGGACCACCCCGATAAATTTGTGCCCGTACTGGATGAGGAGATTACTGGCCTCCACCCTGAACACCACTGCAACCGCCTCATTCTGCCAGGGAACACTGGATACATTCCGGAGACCGTGGTTTGCTCTGACTGTGGACGTATCATGGACAAGTATGTCATGTACCGCTGCTGCACCGACTAGTCTGCTATACTATTACTACTACTACTACAAAGGATTTTACTGCCTTTCTTTGCGACCAAATAAAATTTCATCTGCTGTATTTTCATGGTTTTTCCTTCTCTTGTTTACGAGACTATAGAGTGTGTCGTGATGAAAAAATATATATTGCTACCCTGAATAAACAAAGTTGCCTATCGATTTCTTTATGAAATCCTTGAATTTGAATGCATGGACAGGGAGTTCAACGCGCTACATTAACAACAAAAACTTAAATTTGTTGACTGATTCAAAGATTCGAAAATTAAGATTCCTATTTTGAGGGAGAGTCTTGTGTACAGCATGCATGACAGCCTGAGGGGACCCCACACTCGTGTGAGGTGGCTATAAGAATGTACAGCCCTAAGAGCTGTACATTCGGAATAACCCTTTTAGGGAAGTTTCATTCTTCGAATCGGTAGAACAGTTAATCATACCTCAACAAATCCTCTCAATTTCAAATTCAAAATTCAAAAATTCAAGAATCTCAAACCAAGCAAGCAACTTACGAGAAGAAGTTAAGTTCCAGCAACCAGACAACATCCACAGAATTATTCCAGCATTGAAGAGACAATTTTCCCTATCATATTCCGTTTTTGTAGTGGTAACAAAATGCAGTAATCACCCACAACTTGATAAGATGAAGTAATAATCTGCAGCAGCATATAATGTTCAACAGAATTACTACCACTTCTAGGTGACCACCAACTCGAATAATACCTGAGGATGAAAAGTGAAAATTAACTATCAGAAAAATAAAAATCAAAACATTGACATCAAAGGGGAATGATGTACTAAAGTCTTCGAATATTTTAGTAAGCCATAATAATCTTGATTTCAGTTGAAAAATACGGTAATCACAATGAATAAACCTCAGCCTTTTTTAGTAGAATTTCTGCTAGTGAAAGGAAATGAATATCTTTGAAGATATTAAGATTACACTTTAAAGATTATCTAAAAAAATTGAGAATGAATGTGATGGAATTTCAACAGCGTTTTCTTCAATGGTTGATGATGAAGGGCGAGATTCGAGTTATTTTCCTATTAATAGAAGATAATAATGGCAATCATACCTGATGCACGTCAAATTTGACATTTTATCGTACACCAAGTTTAATAGTATACCATGTGACAATAATAATAATAAGAGTAATGCTATTTACCCTCGCTAGAGTTGTAATCCCAATCTAAGTGACGCTAATATGATATTAATTGATAGATAGAATTAAGTAACTCTTTCAATTTCACTTTTCATTTAACATATTATCTAGTGCAATCTAAATTCGGATTGCAACACCAGTGGAGCTATATAGCATTACTCTAATAATAACCATGCTTGATAAACGCCAAGGTTGACAGTTTGTCATACACTGTGGCAAACCGTCGTTCGCCAAGTTAAATTTAGAAAAGAAATAAAAAAATTCCCACGCATAAAATTTTTGAAAAACATTGGAATGTCAACAATGATGTAATTCAAGAATGTACAAATGGCAAAATCCTAATAATAACATGGGAAGTGTTGATGTAAAATGGCCCAGGCGTCCAAGAATCTCTCTATTTTGTCAATCTCACAAAAGAATACATGTTTAATTCAGTCGAGACAATTGTATATCATGCACGTATGATAATTGTTGGGTTTCGCTATCCAATAAATTTCTAGCAATGATATTAAACATTTTGATTTATATTTAACAGGCTTAGGTCAATGGGTGAATTAATTGTCAACAACTCAATTTAGAGGCTCGATTGGAATACAAACTTGGATAGTTAAAAGTAGCTTAATTTATTAATATTGCTCACAACCCAAATATTCAATTATTGGAGAGCTCTTCTAAGATTCGATCTACTTACATATGTCTTTGCCCAATTGGATACCTAACGTGACCTATATATATTTTTCTCATTATTTGCATGGAACAGTGTGTGCTTTTGCAAGAGATTAAGACTGTGACTGCCTCCTTTTTCTTCGTGCCTGTTGTTCCTTTATTTTTCCCTTGTCTTTGTGGCTTACAAATCACCACCATATTCTTCTCCTTTGTGCGTAAGAATAAAAAGCAACCAAAGTGAATGTCATGGTTGTGGGTCGAAGCCTTTGATTGATTGTGTGATATCGGTTAGTAAATTTAAACTAAGCCTGAAAATTACCAAATTGAAAATCTTGGAGCAAGCTTCCACAACAATTTGTATCAGAGATCCCAGGTGTTGGATTTCCAACCAAAAATCGATCTGTATATAGGGCAAAAATTGGGGTTAGTTGCACAAACCAAGTCCATAGTGGTGTTCTGTAGGCTCAAGCCATTCTATTGGTGCGGTGCATATGGTTGTACGTGCTGCAGATTCTAGGGAAGTTTTCTTTAGACTATTTGATCCTTATTATTTTTCTGACATTTTGATATTGTTTGTTTTCTATTTTAGGTTATACATCTATCTGGACGAATTTTGCCTTTAGACATTTGCGATTCAATCTTTGGCTCAACATGATGCTGCATTTGCTGAAACTTTAGGGTGAATAACAATTACCCTAAAGCAGCAAATTTGCATCTCTTTATCTACGGACCCGTGGGTGATAATAGGATTGTGGCTTCCGTATGGGGATAACTATTGCTTGTACTAGAATTTATGAATTATATGCCCTCTTTGAAGTGTTGGATTTGATTGCAAGTTGATAATTAATTATGTGTTATAATTGCCTATTAAATCACCGTGTGAGGCTGCGTTGTGTGAAAAATTATTTTGGTTGCATACCTCCGTGTTACATTGAATATTCCATTAAGACAGCTTGACCCATTTGACCATTCACTTGATCTAAGATCACAAATCTCATGAAATTCTGGACATTTAGAACAGCGTATATTATAACCTTTAGGATTACTTTGTGCGATTTAATTGTACACTTTGGTTGTTATGTGTTTTTTAAAATGTCTACAGATTTTTATTTAGGAATTTTCAATTAAAATGAGATTTTTCTATTTGACAACAAAAAGTTAAAGGAATTTTGGTTCAATAAAAAGTTTCAAAACTTTCAAATGGCAATTTTTTCGAAAATTTGTCAAAGCAACAAAAAGAAGAATTTGACGAATTTCTATTTTCAGAAAAGTTCATAAAGTTGATACTACAAAAAAATTGTAGGACTTATATTTGCTTAAATTTACTTCCAATAAATTGTATTTACTTGAAAGATTTGTCAGCTTTAAAATAGATTCTTCAAGGATCTTGATGACAATTTGAATGTTTTTAACAAATATGTTTAAAATATTATTAATTGTTATGAAAATATTTCTAAAACCTATAAGGCCATTATTTTGTTTAATTCAATCCTTGACTCATATAGGGATGTTAAGAATGCAATAAAGTATGATAAGAACACATTAATACCCACTTAGGAGAAAGGAAATGGAGATTAAGGTAAATGATTAGGACTAGAACAAAATTTAAGCAAATGGTTTGAGTAGGGCTTAAAATAGTAGTGACTCGAGTGATGAGAATGGTAAGATGACTGGCAAGAGTTGGGACAAGTCTAAGTCTAGTGGTAATCAGTGTTATAGTTATGGTACAGTTGGACACTTTATGAGGGCTGTCTTAAGAAGAAGAATAAGTAGAAAGGTAAGGTGATAGGTGAAGCGAATGTTGTTATTAGGTCTAGTTATGACCCGATTAAGGTTTACTGATTGGAAAACTTAATACTATATGTGCATCTATGTGAAATCTTTTTCTGCATGTATGATTGTTTAATTCTGATGCATTGTAATGTGCTACACTTTTAATCTGTTTAATGGTGTAATTACATGAATCTGATAGTGCTCTTATTATTATGTTGCATGCTTTAGCAGTAAGTGTAACTATTGGTAAGGGTGCATTACTGATATGTGTAAGGGATGTGGAGAATGACATTTAGATAATGAGAGGTTATGTGATTAAGTCTTAGAATTTTCTATCTGTTAAGCCCCGATCAAGTGGAGTGTGAGAGTGACACTTGGAGACCTATTATTCACTTGGATTGAGAGAAGAGTGGGAGTGTCAGAGGATTATTCCAAAGATTTAGGATCTATATTGATTTACTAGTTAAACATGTTTTCGTGACCAATCTAGTCAGCATGGTAGGCGATGAGATTTTTTTTTTCAAGGTTAGAGCAACACGGAAAGGAATAGGATAAGTGTAGTGAAATGTTTTTCGCTGGGCATTTATACATCTGTTGTGTATATATCGGCCATTTGATTGATTAACATGGTATTAGTCTGATGTTCTTTCTATGTTTAGCATGTTTGGAAAGATCTGTTTGTTATCCTATGTTGTATCTTCATTGCATGTTTCATATGTTCATAAGCTCTTGATTGACTATTGCAATTACCTGTTTCTACTTTAGTTTTCTTTACCCAAGTCCTAGTGAATATACGAAGTAGGTATTGTATATATTTTGAGTCTGAAATGTGAGATAAGGATTGTAATTTCAATATTATTTGGTTAGTTGATTATACAAGTATGAACTTTGTGTTGCTTGCTTGCAAATTGATTGGATATCAGTTAGGAGACTTGTTTGTTGTGATACCAAATAAATTCCGAACAGTGATGTTAAGCATTTGATTTATATTTAACGGGCTTGGACCGATGGGTAGATTAATTATTAATTATAAACAACCAATATACCAAAAATGGTCTATTGCAACACATAAAAGGCAACATTCGGTAGTTAAATATTGCTAAAAGGTCTATTGCAACATTTGAATAAGAGAATGTTGCAACTAGTCAATGAAATTGAGTTTCGGCAACATTTTTAAAATAAATGTTGCCAATGATACTTTCCGCAACGTTTTTGGAAAGTTGCGAAAAGTTTTATTTTTTATAACGTTTAAAAAACGTTGCAAAATGTAGACTTTTGGCCCTTTTTTTTCCTTAAACAAGTGAGCAGGCCCAAAACAAGGTAAGGCGGCCCAAGACTAATTCTCCAACACCCTTAACCCAACTTATATATCCAAATCCAATTACCAAAATTCCCAAAATTACCATATGATCAGGGCTTCTCCTCATCTAAGACTTAAGTGTCTGTGCTCGTCTCCGGTCTTCGCCCTTCTGCCGTCGGCACTTCATCATCATATGCAGATCAAACCGTAGAAGAATCGAAGTAGTCAAAGTGTCGAACACTCGAACTTC